CAATCCCTCACCGTTTTGCCCCTGATGAAAGAGCACGGGAGCAGCACTGGTCGAGAATGGCAGCTCCGACAACTCTGACGAGGCGGGGCAGGATAAGCCTTTCCACAGCACGACGAGAAGGCTTATCTACCCCTTGTTCCATACACGTGTGCGCTTACTTCGGCCCAACGGAGGTGTCCTTAACTATTTTCGTTGTTAGACCGGAAGCCAGGGCGCGGTGAGTCCTACAGTATGCTGTACAGCCAGTGGATGTCGACATGTACGGAATGGTGATTGTTGAGTAAACGAAACACGTTGGCGCTGTCCATGCCGCTGGGGAGGTTACTGAACTACTGCCCTCGAAAAGTTGACTGCCGTGGTTCGCACGACAACCAAGGCCTCACCTGATTAGATGGGAAAGAGAACAGGGTCCTGCGTTGTTCGGTAACGCCATGCGTTGTCCAGCGTCGTTCTACGGGTGGTGGTTCAACACGTTTTCGCTTCACTGTACCGTACCAGGGTACAGTGCTTTTTCGCGGAGTCTACGGTACAAATGCAGAAGTCAAAGGTCTTTACTGTACCAATGGTACTGTACCGGTACTGTACTGGAGGTCCCCTACCAGGTGACCTCTAACGAAGATAGACGTGACAAATGCGGAAGCAATGCTTCGCCAGCGACGTGTGGAGGGCATCCGAAGCGCTTTGGCACGAATCCGTTGCCCGAAAACGGAGCCGTGAGGGAAGATGGAGAAAGTTAGCCCTCTTTATTTTGGCACCTCTCGAGAGCTTTTCTCCTACGAAGGGGTACACAATCGGTGCCGCCCACCTGATGAAATCGCGAGACGTAAAAGGTATTTATACCTGCTATGAGGGACGGGTGGTGCTGGCATCAGCAAACCTCGTCGCAAGACGGGTTTCGTTTTCGGCATGGGTGCATTTGAGTCATCTGATGGGCCCTAGTGGGGCACTAAAAACAGGTACGGCAGATGGGTAAGGAGAATGGTCGGAGGCGAGCGCGTGCCGAAAGAGTTTTTAATGTTGTTTAGAACTGGGGAGGTGGCTCCACGTTGGTGATTGGGCAGCGGGAACGTCACGGGATCACGGCATTCCCGGGGCCGCGGGAATCGGTGCGTGACGTGACATGCACAGGGGGCCGTTGCTTAAAAAGCCCTCCAGACGCCCGCAAGTGCATCCAGAGGCCGCGGTGAGCGCGCCAAAGCCTCAAAGCGCCAAATTCCCAACTCCAGTGTTTCATACCTCCCCGCATACCCGCCCCCAACCCACCCCCACTCAGCGCACTCAGCGCTCCCTTTCGCCCCACTCTTCTCTTATGCTCAAACCGACCTAACCCCACTTCCCTCACCCACACCCGTGACCTCCCTTCACTCACCGCCGTCCCAGCCTTTGAACGCGACTGCTGTCCCTTGTCACCGTCGCAACTCCGCTCATCTGTATCGCCGTCTTCACGTGTCCCAACACTCCGCCTTCCTCTCCCACCCCTCCCCTCCGACCCCCACCCCCGCACCCCCTACGCCTTAGTTGTGTGCCATCGCCCCGTCCCCTCCACCGTGCCCCTTCCTCTTTGTCTCGTTCCCATCCGGTCGTCCTCGTCGCTTCGCCGTTCGTATCGCCCTCCCGCGCCACATCGCGGGTTCCCTTTCCGCTGCGTCCACCAGTATCTCCAGCGCGCTCTGCGCGCTGTCGGAGGGTGCCTCCCCACCCATGGCGGCTCCCGTGTATTCCCCGGGCGCCCTCATAGTCGAGAACGTCGTCTTGGTCGCCGGCTCTCCGACCGCTTTTGCCGACCGCTACGGCCACGTTCTTACTGCTACATCTTTTGCCAAGCCTGGAGCCAATGTCCAAGCTGCCAACGCCATCCTTCATTTTCTCGTGTGCGCCATCGACCCGGATGCCTCCGCATCCTTCAAACCTTGTTTTCCAATCCTCGACCGCCAACAGGAGCGCGATTTCCGCCGCGTCGTGGATGCACGTCTTGCACTACTTGAAAATGCTAAGCTCATCCCCGCCGGCACCGCTCGCAAGTCGGTCATCTTGTCCGGAGGTGGCGACAAGTTTTTAGATCTTTTGTGGAGTTTATCCGTTCTCGCTGTTCAACAGGCTTGTGTCAGACAGCCAGCCTATGGTTCGGCTTCAAGAATCCGTCTCATGTCTCACAGTGGTCGCACAGATTCAAACTTGACTCACCAATCATCAGCGCGCTCCACTCGTTCGCTTCTGTCTAGCAGCTCAAAAGCAGCGGATCGAGCCGACTCGACCCGTCAGCAGCGCCGCTTTTTGGGTGCTGGCATGGTATCCGCCGCACAGCAAAGAAGCAGGGATGCCGAAGAGATGCGCGCAAGAATCAATGCGGAGCGTGCCACTCTTGCTAGAACGGCCCAAGCAGGACAGGCAGGTGCCAAAACGTGGGCCACGGAGGCCGACTCCCTTAGAGAGAAGATTGGCGATTTTGAGGCCAAGATCAGAAGACTAAAAGGCCAACTTGCGGACATGGGTTTTGATCAGCATGGTGTAGACATTCGAACGACCGCCGATGCCGACCTCGAGAGCGGTCAGATGACTCAGAGTTCCTCTGGTGATGACTTGCGAGGACTGAAGACTTCTCCCATTGAAAGCATGGAATCTGGCTCCTCTGTTGATGAACTTATCGAGCCTACAGACAACGTAGGGATTGTATCTGACTTTCCGAAACTAATGGCCTTCACTGCAGGAACTCCCGAGACTCGATCCGATGTTGAATGCGCCCTCCCTCCCGAAAAGGCTAGACCCACTCAAAAGGAAGAGATCACCGAAACACAGACGTCCCAGCCACTACCGCAAGTTCACGCAAATCCAGAGGATATTGTCGTTTTGGTTCGCGCTGCAACAGATGAACTTGAGCAAGCTACGAATCGCATGGGAGAAATCCAGGAAGCATGCAAGAAGGCAGCCCAGAATACCCTAACTTCGACAGTCTCGCAATCGCAACCTCCCTTTACTTCAAGTGGCACCAAAGCTCCTGCTCCAGGAAAATCTCTGAAGGAGCTCATCGAGTCCTCCGTTCAACGGCAAAGCAACGTAGTACAATCAGCCAAATCTCTCAGCAACGCAGCTATCGAACTAACTCAAAAGTCCCAACAAATGAAGCGACTTCCGCGTGATGAGTCAAATGACTCACTCCGTACTATCGATCCAGTGGCGAATATTTCGAAGCCAACATGGGCGTCAGAGGCTACTGCCGATGCCTCTAACAATTCATTAATCGACCTGGTGGGACTCTCAAGCGCTGATGGATCAAAGTGTTCTTCCGCAGACGAGATTGACACAGCCCGGGACGTGAACCTTGTCACTCAAGCATTGCAGAATGCATCTCCGCAAAAGATACAGAGCACCGCCTCTTCTGGTAGTAGTGGTCGACGTCTAAGAGAATCACGAAGATCCAGCGAACGACGTCAGCAGAGAAACCGGGCCACACGGAAGCCGACACCGCTTGCCTCCCGTGAGCAAGTAACCAATCCATATGCCAACATTACTCCTCTAGCTGCGAAAAACCCGCGCAGTGTGAGGTTTGCCGCGTTGCCCCCATCCTATAGTGCAAACCGAAGCGACTTTCCAGGTGGGCTTGGGGTGGGGCGCAATCCCGCCGAAGTGTTTCCTTCCCCGGCGCATCTACAACGGATGGTTGATGGGAATAAGATTGCCGAAGCCGTCCCCCTCTCTCGGAGATATAGCGAGGCAGACGTTGCAGACGGCGGAAGAGCCTCTGCACGTGCCCTTCGCTCTGAACAGACAGAGTCTCCTGTCCGAAAAGGAGGGGCATACTCGCGGAAATCAGAGCATCATCGCAGAACGTCATCTGTGGATGAGAAGGTTGGAGGGCCGAGCCCTTCCAAGCCTTCCTCATCCACCACTAGAATGACACGGACACAGACTCCTCGGAGAATAGTTCGCCGGAAAGAAACACTCCAAAGATCCTTCATTTCTAAGCGGCAGCCTCCGGCGGCACAGATTGCCTCAGCAGAATCAACTGCATCAACCGATGAGGGTGATGGACAGTCTGAACCATTGAAGGAGGTTACTAAAGAGGACCAAGCTTCCTTGTCCACTGCTGCTTCTCTTGGTACTCAGATGGTAAGGGAGTGTGAACCAGCTCAGACACTAGCTGCAGCCGGGACGGAAGTTGAATGCACCGATAACTTGAAGATTGACGTCGCCACCAAAACTGAGGAAGTCCCTGCGAGTACCACAGGCTCTATGTCGGATGAGGATCCAACGCCTGAGGAGAAGAGCTGCCCACCACAATCACGCAGTGTCAAGAAAGCACTTGAAGTCGAAAGCAAGGCGACCGTCGGCCAAACCCCTCGGCCGTCCGATGTCAACACAGTTCCGAAGAGACTGTTCATGACACCGGAAACCCCCGCGACGTCTGTCTCTGCGAGCGGTAACTCATCTACTCTTTCGAAAAAGCCTGGCTTTGCACTGCGGTCGCTGGGGTCAGTGCTTGGGAAAAAGCAGATGCTGCGAACCGCTTCGACCGATTCCGGGTCCTCAGAACCAAAAATGCCTCCATCGGCTAGTGACGATGACCTAATACTCTCACCGCATCCGAGGACCTCAACAGCAGCGAAACTCTCCCAAACTGCGAGAAGTGCAGACGGGTTCTTTGCTGGGCAGACTGCTCAGCAATGGCAACAAAGTTCGGTCCAGAGGCCAAGTTCAGCCCCTCACCCGGAAAAGCCCGAGAAGCGCTTTGACCCAAATTCGAGCTTCTTGAATTCGAAGGGCAGAGGACATTCCACGACGTCATCATCAGCACGGAAAAGTCGGGTTCGGAATTTTAAGGCCCGCCTCGCTGCAGCGCTAAAGTAGACCTTCAACAGGTAGTGGCACGGAAGAAGTCTTAGCAAAAGCACTCAAAAGCCTGAGATTGTATCTTTACACATACTTCTAATAGTAATTGGACCGGATAAACTTAGTTGCAGCACACGAGACCCTCTTTTCGCGGGCGTTCATTTGAGTCCTTCCTATTGAAAAAGCTTAGGTCATCAACCCCTTCGCACTCTTCAGAGTGTCGCGAAATGCTAGTTACCTTACCTTCTGGACGTGTCGGTTTAAAAGAACGTTTCTGGCTTGGGGCCTTCTCCTTCGAGGGCATTTCTCTTTCGTCATTGCTGTAAGTAGAGTTGTCTCCAAGTGTGGGCCGCATTGAAGCAGTGCTTACTTGATCAAGCTGCAGTGGTCCTGCACAGAGCATCGGTCGGCTCGGGTCAGGTATATATCGCAGACGCTTCGGGCATCGTTGTCCGGTCGGAGTCCGTTTGTCCGCCCCGCGTTTGCGTCTGTTCAATGCCTTTTCGGATGCCCCAACTGATCCATCTGCTGGTTCAACAGTAGCACCGCCAGCCAAAATTTCAAATTTGCTGCATGCAGATTCATCAGCAGTTTCGCTGTTCAAATTTTCTTCCTCGACATGCTGGGCACTTTGGTCCGCTCCATGCTCTATTCTCCTCTGTGCGGTGTGCGACCGAGAGGTACTCCTGCATGCATCGCTTCGAGTATCAGCCGCTCCTCGACGACGCGAAGCGGCAGGGTTGACATTGTGTATTGAGCGCATGTGTCTCTGCAAGACCACTAAATATGAAAAACTTTGTCCGCAAATTGGACAGCCAAATGCGTTCGGTTGGGTATGTTTGCTGCGAATATGTGACCGAAGATTTGAACGTGAAGTGAAAGCAGCGATGCAACTTGCAAATTCACATTCAAACCTCTTCCTATCTGCCGCCACACTCTCGTGCGTCTGCATGTGTTTTTTTAACCCAGATGATGTTCGAAATCGACGACCGCACTCCTCGCATTCCTTCGGGCTAGGGGGATGTACAGCCTTCATGTGCTTCTGCAGTTGAGAAAATTTGTCAAAAGACTCCTTTCCCGCACAATTGCCTTCAAGACACACATATCTGTCATCCCCCCAGCTATGCCAAAGCAGATGCTTTCGCAGTTTCGACGGTGTCGCAAACACCCTTTCACACCCATCTTCAGTGCACGGGTAAGGAAGCTTCCCAGTGTGTAACGAACGGTGCGTAGCTAGCTGCCGCTTCTTCCTAAACGATTGTCCACAGTCATCGCATTCGTACGGAGTTGGTCTATCGTGGAGATCGCGATGGCGTTTGAGCTTGTTCGCTGTGGGAAACTTCTTGCAGCAGGCAGATACATCGCACTCGTACTCCCATTGATTGCGGGAATGTGCGGAAAGCTCGTGGCGATGCAAGTTGTCTTTTCGCGCGTAGGATTTGTCGCATCCTTCAGCGCTGCACATGTAGGGGCGGTCTCCAGTGTGCACTGCTTTGTGACGTGTCAAATGCCCGCTCATAGAGAACCCGCGCCCGCATACATCGCATTTGTGTTCCACATCCCGTCGGCGGCCCATGTCGATTTCTGCTTTGTCAACACTCATACGCTGCGAAACAGCGGATGAAGATGTTGATGCTCTGCCCAAACAACCGAAATGCGTTATACAAAGATTAAGGCCAAACCGCTCCCTCACACACAAAGCAAATACAGTGCCCGCGCGATAACTGCAAGCTCCGATAACTGCAAGTAGGATACCCGATAAATGAAACGGCAACTGGGGAACCATTTCCGGAGTCACTCAAACATTACTAAAATATAGGACCGTTTCAGATCCGATAACTGCAACGTTTGTAACATACCTCCAGAGCGTATATGGGCTGTTTTGAAGGGGTTGGAAAATATTCAGCCTTCGATCAGGCGACAGATGGTCGACGGCCAAGACAGTCAAAATATATATATGTTTTTCAAATAAAATTTTGAGGTGCTGGGTCCTAGAATCTTATGGGATGCATGGTACCCTTCGAAGGGTAGGCCTTACCATAATATTCGATAACTGAAAATTCGCGATAACTGCAACAAAGGGGGGTCTCCCCAGATGTTGCAGTTATCGCGCGGGCACTGTATGCCCTGATTCAAGAGAAAGGGAGAAAATTGCTGCCCCAGCCCTTCAAATGTTACGTGAGTTTGCCTTTGGTGCTCTACATGTAGCCTACTACGAGCATTGAGAGACGATTTCCACCGCCTTGCACCCTCCGTTCGCGATCGGTGGACACGGTGGACCTGTTGCTGCAAAGATTTACACAAAAATACCTGTCCAACTACACGTGTGGAACTGCCCATACACGTGTATGAGGTGGGGTCACCGACGTCTACAAGGAGTGGCGGAACAACTCAGCATGATATGCAACAAGCCGCGATTTCATTAAATCATGTTTTTGCGCGCAATTGCGCGCAAAAACTGCCAGATAATGCTGCAAAATGAAAAAATCACCACTTCGGCCTTCTTCAAGTGACCCACCGATAATCGCGATCAACCATCCAAATCGAGATCCCCCATGCCTTCCAAGGGTCCCTGTAGCCCATCTCCATCATGGAGATGTAACGTGTAAGTCGTGGCTACCATTGTCTAAAGTCGTTTCTTCATGAAGAATCATGAAGTTTCTTAGTTTCTGCATGAATAAACAAGCAAAAAGCAAAAATGAAAAAACAACCCGAAATCGCGGGCAACAAGAGCCCAAGCCCTCCGACTTTGACGTATCATCGCGGAAGAATACTAGGATACTACAAGGCAAAAATTCCTGAAGGTTCTCTACAGGTGGTCAAGTGACGCTGGGCTACTGCGAAGGTCATTTCGAAGTTGTGCTATCAATATCATCTTCGCGACAATATACAATGGCAGTTGAAGAAACACGCAAAGGTGCGCCTCAGGGCGAAGTGCCAGAAGACGCAGCGACGGGATGCCCTGGAGTTGAAGCGGATACGGCGGGCAAAGCAGATTCCTGCGCGGGCTGTCCAAATCAAGCGGCGTGCGCCTCTGGTGAAGCCGCAAACAAGGGACCGGACCCAGATGTTTTAGCAATTGCACGCCGTCTGAAAACAGCTGTGAAACACAAAATCCTCGTGCTTTCAGGGAAGGGCGGCGTTGGAAAAAGCACAGTCGCGGCACAACTCAGTTTAGCTTTGAGTGCCAACCACTCCCTAGACGTCGGTTTACTAGATGTCGACGTTTGTGGGCCAAGTGCACCCCAAATGCTTGGGGTTAGCGACGAGGAGGTGCGCATGAGCAATTCCGGGTGGAGTCCTGTGTACGTAGAGGAAAATCTCGGGGTCATGAGCATTGGCTTCATGTTGCCGACAAAGGACGACGCCATCATCTGGAGGGGAGTGCGAAAGACGGGGTTGATTAAACAGTTCCTCCGTGACGTCGATTGGGGAGAGTTGGATTATTTGATTGTCGACGCTCCACCAGGGACGAGCGATGAGCATATCTCCCTTGTGCAAATGCTCGCGGAGTCAAATGTTGACGGAGCACTCATTGTGACGACGCCACAGGAAGTATCCTTGATAGATGTTCGCAAGGAGATCAACTTTTGTCGGAAGAGTGGAACTAGGGTCCTGGGCGTTGTAGAAAATATGGCCGGTTTCGTATGTCAGCACTGCCAGGGCTGCACAGATATATTCTTTCCAAGTAGCGGTGGTGCGGAGAGGATGTGCAAGGAAATGGATGTGCCATATCTTGGGAAGATTCCATTGGACCCCAGTATTTCCCGGGCTGGAGAATTAGGCCGCTCCGTGTTCCAAGAAGAGGGAAACGCTGCTTCGCCTGGTGTTGGTGCATTACGGAAGCTTGTCGCGAAAGTACGCGTCACGGTTGGGGACTTGAACAAATCTGAGGTTTCCGATGAGAAGTCGTCCGAAGCTGCAAAAGTCGGAAATGTTTCAAGTTAGGAGAACTATTGTCTGTTGTAGTGTACACTACCTGTAATATGTGCTTTATCCGTTCTACCGAAAATCATGTATATGCTCCAGAGCTGCGATTCGCAGAAGGCCGTAGCGGCTGCTGCTGAGTGATAGAACACATATCGAAGACTAATTACAAGGAACCTTGTCCTCGCGCTCCTCCACACTCTACTGCTCCTGCACGAAATACTTTCCCTTTTTCACTATGCATGGCGAAAAGTTTCGTGGTTGCCAAACGTTCGCCACATGATGTGTGTGAAGAAAGGAAACGAACGAAAGGGGTGCGTTCTCTCGCAGCGATGGTCGTTCTTGGCAGACGCCGTTCTTGGGCTTAGTTGATAGGCAGGTTGGCGTACCTCCGCTTGGCCAATACCAGGAACTCGCCTTTGTTGTGCCAGAGTTCTGCAGCCTGATTGTTAAGAGGGGAGTCATTGTTAGGGGTCTCGAGAAGCCCTTGGATGGAAAGAAGGAGAGTGGTGACGGTGTATGTGGCGCTCCACTTGTCTTTGAGGATGTCAAGGCAGATGTTGCCACTCATGTCGATGTTGGGGTGAAAGATAGGCGTTTCAAATTTGACAGTCGGTGGAGCCATTGGATAATTTTGAGGAAAGGCCATTGAAAGGGTGAACTGCATGTCGGCGTAAACGCCGTTGTCGGCACCCTCCACCGTGCCTTTCCAGTTGGTGAGGTCGTCACCGTCGGGAAAGGCACTGACGCCAGAGATGGGGTCCATCATGAGCTGCATAAGCTCCGTTTGGAGACGCTTCGCGACTTGGTTTTGAGATGACATGGTGGCACGTGTGAGACGGCGGAGCGCGACGACGGGTGCGTCAAGGAAGTACGCGTCCACGGCTATCGGTGTCTACCGCGGGTTCTGATGGCTCAGGATGGGGATGGGAATTTATAGTGTTCGAGGGAAACAGGTTTTCGTGGGTGTGTGGAGTAGAGAGCGGTGCGGTGCAGTCAACTTGTGAGGAGTATGTTTGAGGGAGGGGGGGGGGGGGGGGGGGGGGGGGGGGTATTTGTCGTACATTTGGAAAAGGCACCCGTTACAGGGTGGTTCTTCAACGTTGCATGGCGGCCAGTACGGATGTAGAAGAAGAAAAATGCATATTTGGTAGAGTGGGGGCTGGTATGGATGTAGTGGCTACTGGGAATCCCAGCATCCCAGTCTGGGATGCTGGGGTGTACTGACTACAGTACTGTATCGAGCGCGACTCTTGTCACAGTGTCTTGACACGATGCTTAACGATACGAGTCGATGGACCTACAAACGTAGCAGCGGTCGTCTGTTTGCATCCGTGTGGGGCTTGCAAGAGGAGATGAAAAAGCCGTTTGGTGCCGGCAGAGCGGAGCGGAGGTGGCGGTAAGTTGCCGATGAGCGTGCTCTTTGGGACGTTACGGGCGTATTGTACCAATGGTACTGAAAAAATATGGGTGGCAGTAGGTCGAAAGGGTGAATTATGGCGCAAACGCGAGGGTCGCTATCCTACCGTATGAAAAGTTTCTACAACGAATCCAAAAAATAAATGCTAAATTTGTTTTCTCAGTTGCAGCTGACTTCACCGCATTCCAAAAAGTCATGGCTGTAATATAATGTAATTACCAATGTCTGTAAGCAACATACATCCAATCATGACGCGTTTCATGAACTCCTCTCTATTCGACGAGCTCGCCTTGTTTTCCCGACCGTTACGCTTGCGAGGTTGCCCCATCCGCAACGTCCCATACTCCTGCATTTTGAAAATTACCCCACCTTCTAAACGGATCCCTACAACGTCACACCCGACGGGAACGTTCAAACTTACTCCCTTTCACGATTTCCAGAACCATCATGAACCATCCTGGCGACTGCGGGTCAACCACTCCTCGCCCCCTGGATCCTCACTATCCACTTCTTCGTCCTCGGTCTTCTCGCTTCTACACCCTTCTTCCTCCATCTGCTCTCTTCTAGCCCTGTTCCTTGACGGTCGCCGACAACTTCCCCTTGCTGACCACGGCTTCAGTCCCTGCTCTCTTTTCTACGAAACTCAGTTTTACGCCACCTTGCACAACTAGTTCCCAATGCGAGAAACAATTTCGGGCCCGCAAGCCATCCCGGCTTATCGCTTGGGAACCGTAGCCCGTGCTCTCACCTTTGCAGAGGCCACTCCCGCTGTGCGCCCCAAACCAGACGCCGAATTTCATCCCATGCCTCTCACAACTAATGCCGCTAGTGCCAAAACCGAACCTCTTGTCGATCCGGATGTCAAGCCTTCGCATTCTAGCGGATCAGCCATCCGCGTCGTGCTACGCGTCCGCCCACTTTCGGAGTTGGAAAAGAAGCATAGCCCCGTCTCCAGCGTCACTCGCAACCTGAAGAATGAGTGCACAGTCCACATCCGCCCTGCAAATCCAAAAAAACACCCCGTCGCTGTGCGTAACGCAGGTCGCGCGACATTCAAGTTTGCGCATATTTTTGATGAGGCGAGCTCGCAAAGCAACATCTTTGAACAGACGACTCTACCGATGATTGCCGGCTTATTCAATGGGCAAAGCGCCGTTGTTTTCGCTCACGGGGTTACCTGCTCGGGCAAAACTTGGACCATTCAAGGCTGCGATGAACACCCTGGGATTTTGCCCAGATCTTTGGATGTTATTGTCAATTCCATTGCATTTGCAAAGGGAGATGGCTTGTTGCAAGAGTCCACAGTAAGCGACAGTGTTGCACAGCTCACGTCAGGAAAGCAAGACTTCGGGATGCGGAGAAAGAGGACGCGTGCTGGCAAGGGTAGTGCAAAGAACAAAATGCATGACTCAAATTACATCGAAGTGAGTGGAGACATTGAGTATAAGATTTTCGCCTCATATTTAGAAGTTTATAATGAGCAGTGTTACGATCTCTTTGAGAAGTCCCAATCATTGGAGAACACACCGTACGAAGATGAAGTATGCGTCAATGAAAGGGAAAGAAGCTGTGTTGAAACCCCTGCAGAACCAAGGGAGAGCAAGAGAGCAAAAAGGAAGATTCTGAAACTCAAAATGAACCGGGATCGAGAAGTGTATCCCGAGGGCATCACTGAAATTGAAATACGCAACTGTGCAGATATCGATCGATTGCTCGAATTCGGACAGCAAAACCGTAGTGTAGCTCACACAAAAGCGAACGAAGTCAGTTCGCGAAGCCATGCGGTCTTCTTCATTACACTCAAGATGTCAGAGACGCTGAAGGGGCCGAGTGGTCATCCGAGAACAAGACATCGCACCTCAAAGCTGTCAATTGTTGACCTTGCAGGTAGCGAGCGAACTGGAAGAACCAACAACGCGGGGAACGGCGTGCGCCAAACAGAAACAAACAAAATCAATTCGTCGTTGATGAACCTTGGCCGTTGTCTCCAGGTCATGCGTCGTAACCAACGCACTCAAAAAACCGATCCATTGCGGAAGCTAGAAATAGTTCCCTTTCGTCATAGCCGACTCACTCATTTGCTCCAGAACTGTCTTGAAGCAGGCTCAGCAGTTATGATCGCGAATGTCTCACCAACAATGACAGACTCAGATGAGACAATCCAAGCCCTTAGATGTGCAGCAATCGCTCAGGAGGTCACACTTGTTCCAAACCGAAAGATGAATGTACTGAAAGACCGCACGAATAATATGAATCAGCTACTAATACGCCCGGCCCCGGCCCCCTCTAAGAGAATCCGAGGGAGCACGAAAAAAGGTGCGTCCAGAAACTTGAGACAAAATGATTTGACGAAACAGGATCCCGCCTTTGTCACCATTCCGAAATCTGAATATGAGGAAATGACGTCTTCCATAGCAACTATGAAGAAGGAGATTACGTTTTCGCGGATGGAGAATGAAGAGGAAAAATGCAACAATCTTGAAAACGAGCGGCGCATAGCGCAAATGACAGAAGAAATGGACATGCTGTTTCGGGATAAGGAGCGTTTAATTGATCGTCTGGCCGACTCCGAGGCTAGGCTGTGCGTAGTAGAAACTGAGATTCGTGAAGAGATGGCGGAGGGAACGGAACAGCTCCTTAAACAAGTCCACGATGCATACGAAAAACAACTAAATGAAGTGCTTCGTGAGAGGGACGATCTCGGCGATACTGGGGAAAGCTTCAGCAGCGAAGGTTACAGGAGAGTTTCTAAGGTCCATACAGAGGGCAAGGAACAAGCAGAGGCCATGGCCGCACGACTGGCAAGGCGAGCCTCAAAGGCAGCTTTTGAGAGTGTGAGGTTTCCTCTGGCTGACCCCCAGCAAGAGATAGGCGATGAAGTAGAGAGCACAGGTGAATGGGAGACCGAAGGCGACGAGTATATAGAGGCCGACGATGTGGATGACTACATCGAGGAATCTGACTGATCGCAACCACCTATAGAATAAACAAATTCTGGACGTAAAGGAAAGCCCAAGCTAGAAGCCCAGGGGGGGACTGGTAAACATCCGCGGATGTATCCCGTTCTGGATGGGTTCTACTCTTGGGGAATTAATTGAGGCTATTACCATCATCGGGCGAGTCAAATTTACGATCCACCAGCTGATACCTCCACCGGAGAGTTCTTTTGCGTTGCATTTGTTTCCTCAGTCATATCCTTCGAGTTTCTCCAGTTCTCAACGAATCTAGAATACGGGTACAAACTTGGGTGGCCATCACTCCAAAGAACATCGAGTGCATAATTTCCTACCGGTGCCAACTTCATGGGTCGGACGTCATCTGAGACATCGGCTGGGTCCAACTTCTGAGCACCGGTCATTTCATCTACACAAAGGGCACACCGACATTGTCTTCTCAGTGTTGCTGGCCAAATCTTTTGCGTCGTCTCCGTGTTTGGCATTCTGACGTTGATGTTCCCTGACGCCTCGTCCCATTGAACATCAGGAATGCCCAAGCCGCCATACTGAATTTTGGCTACTTCTTGGACCACTGCAGACGCAAGCCTCTGATACTCGTCGCTGAGCATTGACTTAGGATTCGCTACAACATACGGGATCCCACTATCGCTCTTTTCAGAAAGTTCAGGATCGATCGGCATTGAGAATGAATCGGTAATGCCATACTGTTCTATTAGGCGCTGCTGATGGCCTTTTCCAAATATGTGATGCTTCACGCCGGTGTCCGGCGCAACGAAGTATGACATATTCTCGACCACTGCAACACTTGGCACGCTTACCTTGTCGAACATATCTATTCCCTTGACAACATCAACAAACGAAAGCTTTTGAGGTGTAGTTACAATGACAGCTGCAGTCATGTTGATAATTTGACTGAGGGTCAGTTGAACGTCCCCTGTGCCGGGGGGTAAGTCAATGACAAGATAATCAAGAACTCCCCACTCCGTCGTGGTGAGAAGCTGATTCAAAACGTTTGCAATCATGGGTCCTCGCATGATGGCTGAATCTGGATTCACATATCCGAACGACATCAACTTGACGCCGTGCGCCTCAAGTGGTCTTATCCGCCCGTCTTTGAACTGCACAGCACGCTCTTCTGGTTCCACAAGCGTAGGTAAGCTGGGGCCGTAAATATCAGCATCCATGATACCAACTCTTGCTCCTCGAGAGGCTAGCGAGAAAGCTAGGTTCACAGCCGTGGTACTCTTCCCAACGCCCCCTTTACAGCTAGCGACGGCAACGATGGCCCCAATGTTGTCCAGCGCGCCAGTAGGGGTGGGAACATTCGCACTGGGAGGAGCAGCTGTCATTATGACGTTCGCCTTGCCCACGAACGAGATGTCTTCCGCCAAGCGCTTGCAGTCACTCTTGAATATATCTTTCACCGGGCATGCTGGAGTCGTCAGTTCAACTTTGAAGCTCACATCGTACATGCCTTTTAGTCCTGGCACTTCTGAAAACTCGACGTCCTTGATAAATCCGAGTGTTACGATATCCTGGCCCAGGTCTGGGTCTATGACTGTGCTCAGCGCTTTAAACAGTGCCTGCTTGCGATCGACATCTGTGGATGTGGAGCAAGCTTGGATGACACACCTACCAGGGCATGTGGGGAATTGGGTTATGCTCCTTCTGGCGCATCGCTGCCGACGAGAAGGGATAGTCCGGCTAGTAACTACTGTGCCGAGGAACAAGGACGAGGCCACTCCCCCAAGCGACGTCACAAAAGCCATGGAGCAGAGCAATGGTATTTGGATTTTGAGAGAATCCAGGGGGAGAATGCGTGGTCCTGTTCCTTTTGGCTTCGGTCGTAGCGAGAAAGATGTCCAGCTGTGAACCGTGCCGTAAGGTGCCTGCGACGAAAGGAGAACTGCTTCCAAAGAAAGTGTTGGCAAACGACGAGTCACCTGTCGATGAGTCGTTGCGTTCAATATTTCTGTTTTGTGAAAAATATGGATGGTACCCTTGGTGCAGTATGACTGGTCTCTTATCGGAAAGCTTCACCAAACAACAACATAGGCGCGAAGGATATGGAAATGTGGTTCACAGAAATGTGCTTGCGTAAACCCTCTAATCTAATCTGTCAATCATTGATTTTCCAGTGTTGAGCTCCCGACCATATCATGGCGGGCCCAGGCTCGACCTCAAGAGCCGTCTTTATCACGTTAACGTGGACACGTTTGCAGAATTTTAGGAATTCATGAAAATATATTGAAAGAAGTCGCCTCCGTACACGTGTACAGTATTTAGAGTTCTGCAGAGTCCACCTTTAGCTTGTTGCTGACATCGACATCCTGCTCTGTGTACAGCTACATCAAGTGCTTGTTGAAGAGTAGTAACAGTTACATAGTTCCTGATTGCATGATCGCGCCTTCAAACTTACCGAAACCCAGACGAGGTAAGTGCAGATTGTACTAGGCCAACCTCTTCGAGACCTGTAGTTTACATAGCGGGAAAGAGGCAGGGAGGGGCCCACAAAATGTCAAGAGCCTCAGTGGCAAAACGACATAAATATTTAAGTCTCATATCGCAATCACCCTGTACAGAGACCCGAATCTCCCATTTTCAGTAACAAAAGATGAGCGAGAGCGCCAGAACTTCGCTCAAGGAGAAATGTATCGGCCCATTTTTTAGAGAAAGCCATGCGACAGTATCTCCTGACACTGGGACACTGGCTGTTAAGGAGGACAAAACAAGGCTAGTGAGTTTCACTACATTCTCGGAGAAAGATTCGAACCCACTTAATTGCTCGTCGAGTAAAATGAATCCTCTGCGGCAGATCTAAAAAAAACATTTGTAGTGCCAGAAGACGCTTTCGTGTTACAATTACGTGTCTACGAAGCATACATGCTGTCCTTCTTTTACCTTTTTGACAATATGGTGTCCCAGAGTAACGTTTCGTTGGCATAAACTTGCGTGCTGACATTTTCCGTACAAAGAATGCTGGACAACAAAAGTAATCTCCATTGGATATAACTCAAATCACGCAAACCCCAGAATTATCAAGAAGAAGAACTACCGCTGGCCGTGAACTAAGATCCCGTCCAGCTGCATTTAGTAGAGTTTCATGAATATGGTAGAAATGAGTTTTATCCGCACTGTGATGACCATTACTTATATCGCACAGTATGTGATACTATCTTCTCGGTGAAGTCAAAATCAAACCCCTGCAGATCTGTATCTCCTTTAGATGCCTCAGGATCAAATACCATAGGACAATCATTCATAGCTGTACGCATTATCCCTCTTTCATGCGGGACGCTATTAAACTCAAGAAAATAGGGACTTCTCCAGTGAGTTCCACTGAAGCCATTGACTGCGCTTATATATCATACTAAAACGATACAAGGATGTGGAAATTTCAGAATGCTAAATCCAGTATCCAGCGTCTTGTTGCAGCAAACAATAAGTCTTTTCTCTATCCCTGAATACGTTCTCGTGATGGTATAGAAAGCGGCATGCACCAGCTGGGTTCAATTTCAAGAGAATGGATTGCTCTCGAGGGGGTTTTTTCGTTTTCAGAGCATTGCACGCTTCGAATTTGGGTTATCATCCTTCGTTTTTTTTCTGTGTCTTCTTGCGTCATGGTATAAAAGGGCACGTGGAAGGCTTCTGTGAGGACACACAGCGCTTGCTACGATAGAAATTGCAACCAGCTCATTGATATATTGAGCATTGGACGAACGAGTAACTTTCTTCATCTGCGCAGGGAAATGGTACCCCTCTCTCTAGTACCAGAGAAAGCTGCACCTCCGAAGCCTGTCGCCTTTTTTTCACAAAGAAATGTGGACCTCACTCTTGCATCCCCGCAAGTAGTCTCTTTGAGAGACCTCGGCTCCTGTGCACGATTGGCAGTCGACGAATTCAGCACTTCAGTTTTTGAAGAGTACATTGACTATCCTCTCGAAAGACAAAAGAAAATCTCAGCAGAGAAAGCCGTCGGTGATTTCGAAGCGGCAGTGACCCGCACGAAAGATCTAATCACTAAATGTGAAGATGGCGTGTCCCCCGAGGTGGAAATAGCTTTCAAAAATGCAGAAGATTCATTTAACTCAATTGCCCTCATCTTCAATAGAGGGGTAGTTAGGTATGAGCGAAGACTGTCTCTCTACATGAAATGCAGCCCACTTACGAGAGGGATTCTGTCCCCACGAGAGGGAAAGCAATGGGATCCATGGGCTGATGACGCAGCATCTCCTCGCCGTGAAGAGTTTGCAGAAATGAGCTTCACTGTCATTGTCTTGGCTGTGTTTAGCTCATTTCTAGTCGGATATTTACTCTCATCCTACGATATCGGAAAGGCATCTTCAGATCACATGCAGCAGCCGTGGTCTGCTGTCGGAGCGTCGCTTCATGTCAAGAATGTTACCAAATTTTCGCCGATTTCTTTTCTACTGCGTGCCGGAAGCTTTGAAACTAACAAGGTAGCGAGGAGGCTCAATGAGAAGTTTTGGATTCTGAGAACCTCATCATCTGATTTGTTCCAATTGGTTCGTCAAGGGAAAAATATCATCAAGCGCGCTACTTCCCGACAACTTTCTGGAAGAACTCTCTTCTCAGCTCTCAGGAATGCCCTGAAGAGACTGCAAAATAGGAAGAAACATAAGGAAGTTGCTCTGAATCTCTCAGCTACAATCATTTGCGAGGAACGTGGTCATGAGAAATCCAAACTGGTGTGTTCAGTTCTTCAACCTTTGATGGAAGATTTTCCGTCAATAGCAGTCTGTTGCTCCGACGTTTTGGTGCGTGCAGGCGATGATGTACTTAGCCTTGTTCGAAGAAACCGAATTCCGAATTACGTCCTTCCTTGACGTCTGCGTTATCCACTCTCACCTCACAAGAACATACACCTGTTATTCGCATGCGTACCAAATCCCTGTTCCGACGGTGCCCAAATGGCAAATGTGAAACAAAGAAAAACCAGTTCGAAAAAGAGCGTGCAGTACGATATCCTTCGAAAAGAATGTGATCCGAAATTATCCTATTCAAGGACTCGCTTGAAACCAGATATATTCATTTATAGATGATCTGTGATGCAGCTGTAGTTAAACAGTACGATTGCCTATAAAGGAATGTCTTCCAGCTGGGGACGAGCTAGCGCCTGAACTGTAACGACACTCGACATAGCAGTTCTATTTGACATACCCATCTACAAAATGCAATCCGGTAACTTCATCGTCCTTCAACAATCTATTTCAGTCGTTGATAGCATAACACGAGGGCAGGGAGTTCTATCTAAAACAAAAAAACATAATTCTATGGGAAGACTTAACTGCAGTAACGCCGATGATCTGAAATTGATCCTTTAGCTTACTTTGAGCATTATAAATGCATCCACTCACCCGCCCGATTGGCACCTTGAGTGATGGGCCTCACTTCCCCCGAGTCGTCTCCCTCGGCTCGGCTCGGCTCGGCTCGTTACCCTTTGATCGAGGAGCATGAATTTCCCCCTTTACGCTCGTCGATCTGAATGCATAGAAATGTGATCACTTGCACAGTTTTTATTCCGGTGGTTTAGTGTTTACTCGGGTATGGGTACCGAATCTGAAAACAAACCCCGGAGCTGCCCTGCTTCGGTACTCATTTCCTCTTTCGTGCGGGGCCTTCTATCCTCCTCAGCATCGACTTTAACGCCTCGATTCATGTCAGCCTTGTCAATTTCGTCATAAATCTGGTCATTGAGTGGAAAATCGCCTGATCTTCTCGGGATCACGTGAACGTGAACATGGGCGACGGTCTGCCCAGCGGCAGCGCCATCCTGGATAGCAAGGGTCATTGCTTCGCCGCCGAAATGTCTCTGTAACGGCTCCGCTATCTTGTGCACGGTGTTCCATAGATCTGCTACTTCGTCCGGAGATAGATCTGTAAAACGTGGCGTTGCGCGTTTGCTTAAAACTAGACAATGTCCTGTTCAGAGAAAGTGTACATCTGTTAGTGCTCGACGAGACGCAGCCGAAAGACATTTGCGGGGTACAAGATGTTTCCATTTTTGGTTTGAAGATGTTTACCTGGGACGATCGGTTTTAAGTTGACAATGGCTATGGAGTGGGGGGTGAGGTAGAAGGCTTCAGACCAATTGCACTTCCATGAGCCAAACATGAAGAATTTAGACGCCATTCTAGACGGTTTCCGCCTTCCACTTTCCAGAGTCGTCGTTTCGCTGAGTTGCCTGATTTGGAATTCGAAAGAATGAAAACCTCTTTCCTCAATGCGACAACCCCCAACACGCGCTCCCCTCGAAGAGCAACAGATAAGGGCGTGGGAAGATTCGAGGGGGAAACGATGATGAATTTCAATACTATTTTCTATTTACTAAGGTTGTCCGTAAAGTCACGAAAGCGCGTGTTTTGGCGGCGTGTTTGGTCATATTTTCTAAACGCAAAAATTTCAGACAACGCGTTTGGCAAAACTCACATCATATCGAAAATTGGGGGCATGTGAGTTTTCCACGAGTTTCACATTCGCCTGATCACAGCAATGCCGGATAGACCCGTCTTGAAGGAAAACGAAGTGGATTTTCCGTTCTTTTCATCAGCACAAACGAGTCTCAGGGTCGTTCTAAACAGCGGATTAGTTCGTTACGTTTTGCACGAGATTATCATACATTTGTGCAATTTGCATTTTTGTTCTAAACCATGTCCATATTTCGCACGCAATTTACGCAACCAAGTGGCGGTTATCTAGTGGTACTTGTTGCAGTTTTGGTCAAGGGCAGCATGCGTATCCTCTTTGGTGCCCTGCTTGTTGGTGCCGGTCGACAACTCCAGTGGAGCACTTCACATGAGTGTTAAGGATGGTGACGAGGAATGCGGTGACGCTGATGATTATGTTACGTGCGCAGCAGCTGTTGCTGCCATTGCTGCGACAACAGCTGTAATGCTTTTGGAAAACTCACAGCGGCGAAGGGAAAATATACGAAGCGTCGAGAAAGGCGTAACAAAGATCAGATTCCGGGATGCTTTTGATCGATGCCATATGTACCTCAGCGATCATGAATTTCAGAAGTGCTTTAGACTGCCGCGGAATGTCTTTTTCCGTTTACTTGATGCTCTAACGCCTTTGCTGCAACGAAACACTGCGATGGCTGCCCGATCCAGCGGTGGAAGAGTAGATCCAGCAGTGAGGCTGGCTTTGACGCTTCGTATGCTTGCCGGGGCATCGCACCATGATTTAGTGATGCTCTTTCGAATTGGGACTTCTACTGCGTACGAAGTGTTCCACAGTACAATTGATGCAATTTTATCTACCTTGCACTTACCCGGCGTACCGCTTCAGGATGCTAACTCTTTACATAACTTAGCTAGCGGCTTCTCCAGTTCAAGATCTACCCCTAGCCCACTCTGGGGATGCATTGGGGCTCTTGATGGACTTGTCATAAAGGTTGCAAAACCGTCTGAAAGCTCGGCCCCACGGGCTTACTTCTGCTGCAAAGGACACTACGGTATACCGGTTCAGGCAGTTGTTGACTCATCTTATATGTTTTTGTATATGTCTGCATTGTGTACTGAAAGTACACATGACTCCCTTGCCTTTGCAGTTTCCGCTCTCGGTAGACAATTGATGAATAGTGAAACAATGATGACCGGTTACTAGATTGCCGCAGACGCGGCATTTGAGTGCTTAAATTCGCTCGTAACGCCGTGGAGTACTTCGCAGATTGCAGATCCGGAACACAGCGATGCTCGGGATGCATTTAATTTTTATCAATCTTCGCTCCGTATTCATGTGGAACAGAGCTTCGGAATGCTCATTGCAAGATTTGGAATTCTTTGGAGACAGATGAAGTTCTCTTTATCAAGGGTACCTGCTGTGCTGGCAGCATGTATGAGAGTTCACAATTACTGCATCGATAACAAAGTTATGCCAATGCGCAGCGCAATGTCCACGCAAGATAGAGACATTTTAGATATGGCATTTAACAAATGGTGGGAGGCGGCGACTAGTCTTCGTGACCAAGACCAGGGCCGACGCAGGGATTTAGAGTCATCACACGTACGTGATCATCTCACAGCCCATCTCAAAGAATTGGGGTTCTTTCGACCCTCGTAGAGACAACCTCCTGATTATCACAATAAAAAAGGTCCGTGAAAGGAGTTCACATTGCGCCAGGTAAGTAGGGATTTGCATCAACGCGCGTGTAATTATAGTAAACATCTGAGGTCGAGTCGGGGAACTTCGACGCAGGGTATAAGCTCCGGAGAGACCCGTACCGTGCTGTACGCAGATGAACATGAGATGACGTAGAGGAGGCATGGCCGCACGTCCGATTTCTCCCCGCCGAAAGCGGCGAACACAGGCGGGGGTCGCACCATTCGAGGGGCGGCGGCAGGCGTCCTAGGAGGGGGCGCGGCAGAGATGAAGCAGCGGAGGGGTGCCCTGCCCCCTTCCTCCCTTGCTCCCGTACCGCCCTACCCCCTGCCTCCCTTCCTCCCTTGCTCCCGTACCGCTCTGCCCCCTGCCTCCCTTCTTCCCTTGCTCCCGTACCGCCCTGCCCCCTGCCTCCCTTCCTCCATTGCTCCCGTACCGCCCTGCCGCCTGCCTCCCTTCCTCCCTTGCTTCTTTACCCGCATATGTCCTTTAATCAGCGAAAGAATCGCACTGCGGTAGTCTATCTAGTGCTTTTGCAATGCTGTCGAATTGATTCTGGAGAATTGCGTACAGGTTCGGCCCCGCTTCTTTCATTTTTGAATCAATGCTAGTCAGTTGCTCAATAAGATGGCCTCTGGTTGTCACGAGCTGAGGGTAAGACATACTTGCAGGATCGTTGAGTTCTTCCCCTCTCCGTCGTTGAGGAACACTAGATGCAAGCGTGGTTACTGCTGCGACAAGTTCGCTCACGTTCTCCCGGGTATCATTGTCATCTTCGATAAATCCTGCGCGTCGCCTCTTCCTCCTACTCCCACGGTTCGGTGTCGAACCGGAAACTTCTCGTCCGATTCCCAAATTTCCCTCATCCCAGCCCATACCCGGAGCTGCGTCTTTCCTCGTTATTTCCAAAGCGTCCTGGTCCTCTTCGGGAGTCCCGCATTTCATGGCAACAAATAAAACTATACAGCGCTTTCCAGCCGAGGACGGTTCCCGAGTGCTAGATGTTCTGGGAATAAAGTGGGCAAAGTTGTCTGGGTCGTTCTGTCCTGAAGCTTCGTAATTCTTCATTGCAAGAGTAAATATACTCTTCGATGCGTAAAAATGCTGGTTGAGTTTCTCGGCTGATCGGAATATTATCGGAGCTGCTGTAGAGTCTACACCACTAACACAGCCGTCTAGCGCGAGCTGTGGCTTTAGAGAAGCATTATTAAAAATTGGTTCGACCACGCTGCTCCAAAACAGATCTCGCGATTCCCTTCTGTCCAGCTCTGCTCTGGTGAGATCCTCACCCGATTTTAGCAGAGCAGCCCTAGCTTCCTCATTTCTGAATAGGATTGCACACAAACGCGCAAATTCATCGAGCGTAAATCCGGGATCCGATGATATTGACAGATCCAAACCTGAACCACACCGTTCGCTGGTGCGTCTTCCGAGAGATTCGGGCTGCCCAGATGTAATTTGCCTTTCTTCTGGGCACATGTAGAATATCCTGTTTAGTTGCAGGGGACTTTTGATCCAGTCTACATACTTCGCCGCAACTAGGGCAGGCCAGTTTTGCCCTCCATTTCGTTCAACTTTATATAAATACATCAGCACTTTGCAGATTAAGTTTCTCTTGTTTCCAACCGTGCCAATCTTGAACAGTTTCGCGAGCGCGCGGAGATCAGGTACACGTGAGGAAGAAAGAAAAGTGTAAACCTTGTCTCGGTCATTCGGAGCCACAGCGATGCCATTTTCAAAGTTAGATAGCCATGTATTATCGTTGAGAAGCAGTGGGACTTGCAAGTGGGATTCATTATCGGCGGATGACTCTTCTCCAGCAGGTAGTACACTGATGGCGCCTTGTGCATTTCCACTCCCACTCCCTCGCACTTCCTCTTGATTGTCTATACGCTCCATATTTGTGGTGTTTCGGCGTGTGGCCTCAGGTACCTGAGACGAGGCACTCGGCGGTTGATAAATTAGTGCACGCTATTTGTGGTGGGCAGGGCGTAACGCGTGCGGCAAGGCGGGTAGCAGTAGGTTTATTTCGCGTCGTTTGGCGTTAGAAGCACAGCATACGGCGCGCAGAGGCCTCGACGATGAGGCGGCGAGGGATGCAGGTGCGCAAGGAGCGCGGTAAATCCAAAACACGGAGAAGCGTGGATCAGGGCTGGTGTATATTGCGACAATGAAAGCAGTTGTTCCGTGCGCACGATGAGTGCGGCGAGATGATCAGAATGCAGAGTGTTCTTCGCGCATGTAGGCTTCGAAAAGCGGCGAAGAACGTGCAGCGACGTCAAGTACGCGGTGGCGAGAGCAGATGTAGGTGCGAGCGGAGCTCGGTGAGTAGGAGAAAAAAGGAAGCGCTGAAGAGCGCGGAGCTCGGTGAGTAGGAGAAAAACGAAGGGCGGAAGAGCGCGGAGCTCGGTGAGTACGAGAAAAAAGGAGGCTCGGAAGAGCGCGAGTGCATATGGCGACGATGCAAACAGTGTTTCCACTTCTTTTCTTGCACGAAGAAGTGATTGATTTTTGCATGGGGATTCCTGCATGCAAGAATATCATATCTTGTGACCGGCCAATGGGAACAGTTTTTATCATAACTATGTGCAAAAGCAACAATTTTCTTCCCTGTTTAGAACGACCCTCAGATTGCATGGGTCGCATCGATATGCGTCATGGACGCCCCAATCGCTTCATCTGCGCAGAGTCCATCAACGGATCAAAGCACGACAGGATCTGCCACAGATGCCGCCGAAGCAACCGCGAAAGATAGACAAGTAGAAGCTTCTAAAAAGCGGTCCTCTCCAAACAGCCCCCCTCAGCCTGTCAAGAAGACGAAACACATCGCCCTTTCGACTGAGAACCTTTCTATCCTTGTGTTGAGCTACAATATTCGCTTCAGTGAGTATTCGCGCAGGTGCACGTGATCCGTCGGGCGGCACAACGATGTACCAGACTTGCGTTTGTTGCGGGCAGGCACCCTGCTGGAGGTCAGTCCGCAAAACCCGTGGCAGAATATTTCAATGTCGGGTTTAATTTACGTCCAGCGATTTTGTGGGCAGATGAAAAAAAGGGTTAAAAAACAGGGCGTTATTTTACGGACAACCTTACTGCACAACAAGAAAGAGCAGTACAGTATTGTTGAGGAAAAGAACGTGGCAACGTGTACCGATGGACTTCAAACCGAAGGCTGGATGAGCGCGCACCAGTTGTGAACCAAAAGCGCGGGAGTCCTACGGAGGTGACGGCCAAGGGGGCGTAGTCGACGCCACCGGAGCGTGGCGAAGGGAAAGGATGGCTACGCCCGGTAGTGCTGGTCGGGGCAGAGGGGTACAGGGACAAAGGGGGAGTAGGCGAGGGAGACAGGGATAGAGAGCTTCCCTTACGGAAGAGAGAATACTTAAAGGCCACCCCGGGACGATAGAGAAGGGGGGGCAGCAACGGAGTAGGAAGTAAAGAATTGGGTGGATACCCTCATTCAGCTGGTTGCTCGTGCCATGCGATTGGGCTAATCGCAAGAGTATTGTTACGACCGGTCCTTGGTGATCTCGCCACTGGTGTGTCACCTCGGTTCCCGCGGCTTCGATGCCTGTTTACTTCGTACGCCGGCCTCTCTCCCTCAAATACCCCCTGGGCATCCCCCCGCCCCCCGTCAGATCTACGCTATCCCCTCCCGATCTACGCTATCCCCTCCTTGTGGCCCGCCATACATGGCTGAGACCCCATTCCTTTCCCTTCGTCCTTCATGTCCCGCCTTCGCGTCGTCTCCCTTTCCATTCGACCCGTCCCCCCTACAATAGCACGGGCGGTGACAGGCCTTCACACTCGCTGGTCCCACCTCCAGCTGACAACCGTGGCTGTAAGCATCCCTCCCTAACAGTATCATATTTTAGTGTACAGTACTGTAGTTCAGCTGTGTCCATAAAAGGTGAGAGCGATTGATTATATATATTTGTTTTTCCCTTGAGAGGGGCAAGGTAATAACGTTGCCGCGGCACGTCCAAGTATTATACTCCATAAGAAGGTGGAAGGTCGCGGAGAAAGAAGAGTTGGACAGCAATGACGAGTTAGAGACACAAACGAGTGGCCAATGCTAGAAGCACGGTCAGCTGTATACGTTTTTCCACAACACTGTTGGTGATCAAGTTCGGTAAAGAGATAGTCGCGGTTGATCTCACATACAGAAGGCTTGCTAAGTCATGTGCAGTATGCGGACAATATTTCCGTAAGTATGACTGGCTTGCAATCCACTAAACGTTTGAACGACATCAAGAAGTAATCTTGGATGTCTGTCCTTCACAGTGAGCAGGAGAGCAGTGAATAACAACCAGGAAGGAATTCCCTGAAGCCTTTGAGGCCTTCTCGTTTCAGAGGGAAGTGGGTTATTGCACCTACTCGAAGGACACGGAACAGCGCCAAACGAACCAGTAAGAGGAAAGTGGGGGGCGTGAAAATGCGGGAAAAAATCAACAGCACAAGGACATTGGCGCTGACGGACTTGCAAAATTTGCATGAAAAGCGATGTGAGGTGTGTGGGAAGTGTCACGCTAGTAGGGCACCTCGAGATGGGCTTGAAAAGAGATGCCCTTGCGAATTGGTTCAAGAGAGACGTCGGCGCAAGCATGTGAGGGCGGATGTCCATGGACAAGACAAAGTGACGGAAGTTGACAAGTGGAGAAGAGAGTTGCGTGGGGGAGGTTTGTGTCCACAGTGGGAGACGGAGATAGGGCAAGATAGGAAGCCAAAGAATTGCCCAAAAGCAATTCTGAACGCCCAATGCGGCACCAGCGGTTGCCGTACAATTACGGAAAAGCCGCCGCTAGGAAAATTCTCACATTTATCCTTCGGACCGACTGGGTCCCATTTCAATTTATGAATTTATGCGGGTCGGACCTGCAGCATAGAAAAGACCTATTGGACCTCACCAAGAAGCACAACGCACACACGTGTGCACTTCCTTTCCTGGCTGTGATCTATCCAACCACAAATACACAAGTGTGCGTTGAAACCCATGATGGAAGACGAAATTTAGTATGCCCTTCTCGAGACCCTCTTTGTACTCTACACATTGCACGTTCTGTACCCGTCACAATAACCCACCATCCGTCGGCCCCAAATCTCGACCGGGGCCCCGGTCCGCTCCACACGAGCTCAACTGTGTCCTTTCTTCGACTCACATCTCCATGTACCCGTAAATGACCCTGTGCAACCCCTTTGCTGCCTCCGTCCTCCACATACATTCCCCTCCGTCTCCAGTTGCTCCTGTCGGCGACTGTCAAGCCTAACGTCGGCCTTTCTTTACCTTCTTCAGCAGATATCCAAATCAACAAACGTCCTCGCGCGCTCACTAGTAGGAGCACAAGCCCGCAAACTCCTTGCTCCACTTTTTTCGATTCACAAGATGGCGGTACGTCTAACATTTTCTTCTTCCACATTTCTCAATGCTCACGGAAGTTTGGAGCCCTGTCGAAGGAGCCTCTTCTGTTACTGCTCTTGTTGAAAATGCCCCGTGTCCTGACTTGTTTGTCTCCTTCCTTCGCGTTCACAACGAATTTTCTTGTTAATCATGATATCACAGGGTGTACCCGGACGCAGTGGGAAGAACTCCAAAGCCGTGCGCGAATTCAAGGCGACAGGCAACAAGGCCATGCAGTCTGGTGCCTTTCAAAAGGCCATGAGACTCTACACCCGCGCCTTGGATCTCGATCCGGCTAATTCCATCTTATATAGCAACCGTTCTGCCGCCCATTTCAATCTCCGCCAATTTAGCGAATCTCTCGATGATGCGGAGTCTGCCATCCTCTGCGACGCCATGTGGTGGAAGGCCTACAAACGCAAAGGGCTTGCGTTGATACACATGCAAAGGTACGAGGAGGCGATCCATGCGCTTGAGGAAGGGCTTCGGATTATCAAGAAGAATGCTGAGATGGAGAAGAATTTAGAGTTCGCAAAGGCTTGCCAGGAGCAAGCCCAGAACTTGTACATTCTTCCGGAACCCGTCATGATGCAGCGCCTTGAGAGCGTTCCCGTCTTCATCGTCACGGATAATGTCGGACAGCCCTTCTTCGTGACATATGATGATGGTCAGCAAGTTTGCACCTTCTATTTCGACCAGGAGGATGCCAATTCTACGCTTGAATGGATAAAGTCTGAAAATCCAGGTTTGGGCGACACCGCTCGTGTAATTCACATTACCCTTCATCAAGCATTTAACCTTGCGCAAGAGACTCAAAAGCAGTACTATGAGGAAACTACTCGGGCTGCCGCCGAAGAAGACATACGTGCTGCCGCGGAAGCTGCAGCAACAAAAGGAGGCAAGGGCACGACCGAGCCGGTTCTCGATGTCGATGGTGATGAAACTACAGAAACACCAGAGGAAGTAAAGACCGACGATGACACCGATATGAAGAAGGAGAAGGATAAAGATTCTAGTACACAAAAAGGTGACACCGACATGAAGAAGGAGAAGGATGAAGATTCTGGTGCACAAAAAGGTGACACCGACCCTGCTCAGCACGAGTCGAATGCGGAAGTTCAAGAAAAGAGTGACAGTGAAAAGAAAGACACTGCAAAGGCAGACGGTGAAAAGGACGGCAGCGACCAGAAGGACGAAGCTTCAAAGGAAGATGACAGCATCATTGATGAAAATGCTCCTCTCTCTTTCCAGTTCCGACCTGAATTGCGACAGGTCAAGGTTGCTGTAGAGCTTTTGAACCAAAACCCGGACCCTCCTGTCAAGCCAATTCTTCGCGACCCGCCATCTGTGAGGAAGGCGAAAGCAGAAGCTGCGGCAGCTGCGGCAGCCGCTACCTCAAAAGAAATTGATAATGTGGAAGGGGCTGGGAATGTCGAGAAACCAGCAGAGTCTGAGGACAAGAAGGAAGAGGCAGAAACGGAAACGAAGGATGAAGTCGAAGGTGGCGAGGGGAAGGCAGGCGCGGACAAACCAGTTGACGATGATGAGGACGTTGAACTGACGGTCGATAATTTTAATGGGATTCCCATTTTCCAGGCAAAGGGTCTAACACTGTTGCAGAAAAACAAGCAACTCATTCCCCTCTTTTTCTCGAAGTGGGACCTCGAAGACGCGTGGAAGCAACTAAAGGAGAGCAACGCTATGGATGTTCCAAAGGAGTGCGAAATCGACGTCGGAACGCTAGAGGAAGTGCTGAGAAGGATGTCTGAAAGCAAGACCGGCGAATTTCAATCAGTCTTCTTTGTGCCATCTCGTGAATCCATGAAGGCTATTAACGTGAAGTTCCCTCTCGATGATCTCGCATCATCCAACTCAAGTACAACGAAGAACGCCCTGGGAGGTAAGCCTTCTGCCAAGAAGGCCGGATTTTCGAAGGCTAAACAAGTCGCCGCGCGTGGCGGCACTAAAGACGAAATCCGAGCTGCTATTCGTGAGGATATCGAGAAGCATGCAGAAAGACAAAAAATGGCAGAGATTATTGCTCAGATTGAACATGCAGGTCGGACAGGTAGTGTGAACGGACTTGGCCAAGTGCCGCCAACTGGTAACGCTTCAAGTGCAAAATAAGTTTATGGAAATTCTGGGCTGCTGCCAATGATACCAATGGTCAAATGCAGGATCCGGGATCGATTCATCTGAAGAATGCGGATTGGGCCTTGATGCCGCGGCAGGTGTGAATTCTGATGTCCCGTTCTCACTTCTTAACGTTTAAGTTTATGGGAAAGTAAGGTTTTGTGCTATGTCGAGATTGTACACAAGTTAACAAAATGGGTGATCCTGTGGAAGGGGGTCTCATACGGGGAGTGGTTTAGGTGTAAACAAATAAACTTGGGGACTGTTCGATACAAGACTTGAGGCAATGGGACAGCAAGCAAGACACCAACACGCACGACTGGCGTTCGTTCTTCTGCCTCATCGACAGCGGCAGCTTGCACGTCTCTATTTGACTCAGAGCATGGGTCATGAATCTTGTCCATCGTCCCTTATCAACAGCTAGGTCACCTTGATGCATGAACTAGCTGAAGCACAGAATATTTGTACGTGTCGTTGTGCTCCTAAGCTGACGACCAGTCATTACACAGAATTGAAAAGGATTCCGCTGCACGAATGCTCCCTGGGACGAGTATAGGCTCAATCCCATTGCCATGGAAGCAATAGCCACCTTATGTTGTAAATGGAGGGGGGCTGAGCTCTGTTCGGTTCAGAAAGGGTCAATCCTTGATGTAGTAGAGTCAATGAAATTTAACGAATTGACATGGGCTCTTTTTGTGGCAGTAATGACAAATGACCGGGGAGTAACATGCTTCGTTGAACACATGGAAGTATTTCCGCACAATCTCTCGATATGAGCGCATGGCAAGAGATACTTTTCCCTTGTTTCCTACCCAAGCATGCACCGTGAATCAGGCTAAAATAGCAGCGCGCCCTTATAGAGCCCTGCGGTGCCACATCAGCTGATTGTAGGCTGTGTGCAAGTTGCCTCACCAAGCTACCCGCTGAAGACGTCCAAAACCAGACTTACGAGGCCTTCCTACTCCTCAGGGACTTGCATGGGTTGGAAGTCTATGATGTCTTTAAAATGGATTGCAATGTATTCGCCATAGTGATCGGCCAGTAGGGAGCGGACGGCAGTATGTACTTTTGAGTCGGCTTGGTAGAAGATGAAGGATGTCTCAACCATCACCTGTGGATATGACGGCGTTCGAAGTTTCGAGATTGGGCAATAACGGTGATGCATTTTCCCGTGCCGATTCTACTTGTTGTTATGATTACTAGGAATGTGACGGATTTTGGGCTTCTGGAAGGTTAGGCGCAAAACATATTGTTCGAAAGTGGTGGCCAAGAAGAGGAGCAACGGTCGGAGGGGTTCTGTCTTCTTGTGAGAAGACCTCGGGATGGTTACCTAACCTCTGGCACGGCTAGAGTGTCTATCACACCGTTACAGTCTTCATGCATGAGGACAAAAGTTATTTTACTTTTTCTAGACAACGCAACGCGCGATTTCACTTTTGTGTTTTGCAACCAGAGGGCCATCACTACAGATAAAGCACGTGTTTGTCGATTCTAGCGAAAACCAACTCATTGGTGCACATTTTAATGTGCACTTTAAGGTGTTCAAAAGAAAAAGTCGACTTACAGTACGCATTTTTCATAAAGCTAGTTTTATACTGTACCGGTAGCATAGAAACATGGCCTTCAGTGCTTTCTATTCGGTTCCAACTCGAGAAAAAATTTGAAACGAGTCAAGCCACCAAAGAAAAAGAAAAACCGTTGACATCAAAGTTGAAATGAAATAAAATTCGAAGATTTGATGTTATGATAACGCTTAGTCGGATTGACACTAGGGCTTCCCGGCTGCTGGCGATCAAGCAGAGAATGAAGTGCATACTTTTCAAGCATGAACAGATGAGCCAAAAAGCGTGTGAAAGCGCATGTTGATCTGACGGACGAGAAAGGAGATGTATCGCATCCGACTAGTGTTGAGCTCTAGTCTGCTGAAGGACTAATGGCCAAGGATGGGCGACAAGGCCTAGAGCGAAAGGAGAACGAGGATGAAAGGGGAAATAAGGCGGCGGCACATTGATTGCCGACCACACAAAAAGTTTGTTCATACAACAAGGCTGAGACACTGCTGTCGAAACAGTCAGGCACTGCCAGCTAAACGTCATCTCTCCCTAAAATGGATTAAATTTTGGCAACTCCAGACCTGCGCCATGCTCGAGCTCGAGCTCAAGTAGTGCAATCTACGGTCAGAAACTACCAGAATAAATGCGCCGTGTGTTGCTTCGGAATGACTTGTGTAGTGCGAATAAAAAAATTTTCACCCACCCATTCGCAACCCAATGCCCTCTGCGAGCGACACGCGTCCTTCACAGCAAGCAAATGCATTCCTCCCGGGTTTGCATGACCAGCTCCCGCCCCGACTGATATTACCGAAATTTACTTCCGCACCTCATACTCTCCAACCTTGTGAGCCGCTCGTGCACCGAATGGCAGCATGGGTCATACTCCTTTTTCCATCCGCCACTCAGCGCGCGCCCTCCTTTTCTTGTCCGTTCACCACACACACAACTCACAACTTGTAGAACGAGATTAAAAGCCTTGGCTAGTTTACCTCCCGCTGTCCGTCAACTCTGGCCTTCCTTGGTTCACCGGTACAGCTTCATCTTTGCTCCATCTTTGCTCTTCTCCGACCGCACGAACCCTCCGTCTTTCCAAAAACACTCAGTCCTTCCATCATGAAGATGCCCAAGTTACCCGTCCTGATTACCACCCGCGATGACGGTCGCAAGGAGTTTATCGGCCTCACCCCGAAGGAGTGGGTTGTCTCAACTGCCGTCCTATGCGGGCTCTACGCCATTCTCGCTGGCTTCTTTGCAGTTCTTCTAGTTATTGCACAAACCATTCGCAACGGGGCAGATTTCGTAAGTCCATCCTATCCGTCTTTCTGTTCTGATCCTTCGTTTCTGAGAGCCGTGCATCTAACCCCATGTAATCGTTGGAATTCATATTTTCTTTTCGCAGTACACTATCCCGGGCTCTGACAAGCTGGAAGATGATGATGAGAAAGCAGACTCAGAAGAGTAGCATTTTGCTTCAGATATTACAGTTTTAGTTAGCTTCATTGACCTTCGATTTTTCGTATGCCAGTCACATCGGAGCGTGCCTTTCTGTTCTACAACACCACTCTCATCCCCACTTTCTTATTGTGTCTCCCGTCTTCTCAAATGGGGAACGCTCGCCCTAGTCCTTCGTCCTCATGGACATGTTTTGTAAAGTTGATGGCCGATCCTCGGTTCCGTACTACGCCTTCCGATCCCATCCATACCCGTGCAAACCACACAAGATCAGCGCTTTCCACGGAGTGAGAATACCGTTTCCC